CTCCGCCCCAGCCGTCGCTTTTTTTTCCCGGCGTCACCCCGGTTGCAACGGGCGACGACGTCCAGGGAGGGTGGTCGGAGCCGGTGGACGCGAGCTTGCCCTGGATTGTCCATGACTGTTCCTCCCATCCCTCTTCCTCCTCAACCCCCTCCTCCAACGCGTCCTCGTACTCACTCGCACTTTCCTCCACGAGTGCCTCCTTCACACGGTCGTGGAGACGGCTGAACATGGTCACGTTGCATCCGACGACTTACGCCGTGAATCGGTCGGTTGCTGTGGGCAACCTGTGGGTCGATAAAATGCTCTCTGGGAGAGGAAACAATGTCCGCGAGGAAGACATCAAGTGTTGAGCAGGACGCAACTGATGAAGACAGGGCATTAATCTGTTCCTATGCCATTGTATGCCTACATGCTCGCGCCGCTTGGGCACGTCTTGAGTGGATTAGGGTTGGGACTGCACGTTTTTCCTACCTCACAGTGTCCTTTTTAGCATCAGCAGGAAAGACGGCGCGTTTCACGTTCACGGGCTGAACCCAGCCACACCCATTCTTTTTGCGGATGTGAATCATCCCGACACCACACAAAAGGGGACAATCAACGATGTTCGGCCATGCTATTGTTCACATAAATCAGGGAAGTTGAGGACGGATGTCTTTCTATTATCAACATGAAAAGTGATGGCGTCATCATCCTTCTCTCCCCCCTCCCCGCCCGGAAAATGATCACATTGCATCGTCCAGGAACAAAGTGCAAAAGGTGGTCATCATGACGTGCGTGTATGGGATCCTCTGTTTGTGCGATGGTATGCTCGATGTAAGTCGATTCCTTCTTTGTCAGGCTTTTATCGCAGGAAATACTTGGCTCCGAGGCCCCTCTCGCATGGCGTTCAGAGGATACGACACGATGCTGGCTGGCCCGCATTGTGCGTGAGAAAGAAAGCACAAAATGACGCAGCTAAACCACCACAACACACAAACAGCAAAAAGGATAATGGGAACGCAGCCCATGGACCCGGGCCACCCCAAGAAAGTGCTCTGCAGTGGTGGCCTCCCTCCACCCTTTAGTGCATGTAAATGGACGCTTGAAGAGCTTCTCGTAAAACAAAGAGAGCCAATTTCCTCCTCCGCCTCCTCGTGCACCTCGAGAGCACTCCTCCTCACACTGGAATTCGCCGACAAGCGGAGCATGACGCACATGTTGGGCCGCATCAGCGCTTTCAGTGAGGGGAAAGCGAACAAAGGTCTCAAAAGTGAGGCCAAGGCGGGCGACGCCAGCCGCGGTTATTACGGGCATAATTTCCCCTTGACAGTGCTGGAGGATTTCTCCCAGATCCAGGGGGCGAGCGGTGGGAAGAACGGGGCGCGAAAGGGAGGGGAGGAGGGCGGTCTGGCCCGGGGCGAGCAGGATCTGGTCGACCTTTGCCAAAAGCTGGGTTTGATGAAGAAAACAAAGGGTGACGGGCCCAGAGGAAGCAAGGGGCTCGGCGCGCTGGGAGGGAAGGGCGGACAAGCATCTTCTTCCTACCTGATCGCGCATCTAAAGCACGACCTCGGCACCCG